ATACAAAATATATTGCAAACTTAGATTTCTGGGAAGTAAATAAAGAATGTGGCTTCAAAGGTTTTAGTTAGAATACCCCGGGGAAGAATGAGGATTGTCACAGTTCTAGAAAATCAGAATACTTGTTTCCAAGAACCTAAGAATTACTACCTTTTTTTTTAATATAAAAAAACGAGCTTCCAAAATCATCTTAAAAAGTTAATTTGATAGACTTTCCTCTACCAMTAATAAAACACGCACTTAAGTTACAAATACTTAACAGACTAATTACACAAGACTAGAAACAACCTTTGAAAACAGCCTACCTTAAACATTTCAAGCAGTGTTTCCTTCTTAACTTCCAGTCTTTCAAAGGCTTGTTTTTCCTTCATTATCTTTTTGCATAATGTTTCCAAAGCAGAGAAGTCATTACTTGATACACCCCTAAAATAAACATACAAAAATAAGTAATTTTTGCTTTCGTTTGCAAAAAAGAAAATGATCATGTGATCCAGGTGCAATGCACWAAGTTGCAGTTGGGATGCCCTGCAAAAACAAAGCCATCTGCAGCACTATGTATGACTTTGTTCTAGGAACAAGCACACAGCAGAAATTTTGCTGTGACAGCCACCCGCAACTTCTAAAAGAGAAAACAAAAAACTTACCCTTCCTCAAGAAACATGTCATAATAAAATCCATTTTCTATTGGTGGGCCATAGCACAAGCAGCCACCATAGATTCGTTCCATGGCTTCACCCATTATGTGAGCACTTGAGTGCCAGTAGACCTAACAGAAATAAAAAAATAAAGGATCAGTCTGAATATACACAATGCATTCCCAGTTGTTTTAATTAAAACCTTTCCTGAAATGCTTGCTTTTAAGGATACTTGATGCAAATCACACGTTAGAGCAGTGCACAAAACGGAAGTGACCTGCCCAGGAGCTCGCTAATCCTAGGAACCATGTTTCCAAAAAGCAGCATTTCCACTGGAAAACTGTTTACATTCTGGTAGCAAACAATTCTTACTTTCAGCTATTGCTAAATTTGTGCAATTATTGACAAGAAGTCAGGAAGCTAATTCAGAAACCTTTTTTTCTATAAACTTTCATCAATCAGATCTGCATAAACATCAAAAAATGTGCTTTCAACAGAAGGCTGTGGTTCTAATCCAGAGATCTTATTCATGGGAAATKCTGCWMACTCTATCTTGTAGTACACTTGATGTTCTGACAAAACTACATATCTTAAGAGTTAATCTATCTTGGTTAGCAGAATTGTGACTGAAATAATAAATTGAAAGCTGTCATTTAGGCAGTATGAAAACCCTAGGCTTAAATGTACGACTTCTGTGATGAGTAGACTGACAACTTCTTGTACCATCCAATTTTTTTCTAAAGACAATATTCACAAATTTATTGGCTGTCCATATTTATCTGATTGAGCAGCCAAAACTAGATACTTTTACATTCACAAAAGAAAAGAGCAGTCTACTCAATACTTTTATGATTCTACATCAAAAATACTTTTGTATTCAGTTTTGTTCCCAAAATCAGGGCTGAAGATGTCAGTTCCAAAGACCTTCTTTACATTAACATGAAGGCTGTAAATGCAAAGTTTTAACAAGAACTTGAAATGAACTACAGAAACTGCAAGCAGACTTGGCTAAAAAAGTACACAGCAGAGTGAACATTATCTGTAGTACCACAATCCCTCTGAAAAAGACCCATGAGGAAATGAAGATGTACCTAAATGAGAAACCTTTTCTCTTCATGTTCTGAACACAGTAAAGATAAAAAAAAAACTGCTAGAGGCTGAGTTATCATAAACCTGAAGGAAAATATGTTTTGGTAAAAGACACTCACTGCTTGAGCCTCTTCATCTTCGAACTTAAGYAGCTCCAAGGAACAATCCTCCTCCAAAGGACGGTCTAGATCCCAAACCACCTTGTTCACTTTAGCAATAACCGTGTTGTCAGCTAATCCCTGACTGTAAAACAAATACAGAAATAAAATGATAAGAAAGTATATTGTATTTTGAAATCAGCAAGCAGAAGTYCCCCAAATTTATCCTCCAGTTTGAATAAGACTTCAGGAGTGCTCRGAGTGGATATAATGTCATAAAAAAAAATCCAAATAAATGAGCAGTTTCACCAGTCCTGAACATTTATGAAAAATCCTACTTGTATTTTAAGGATATGCGAAGAAAACTGTGCTATGTACTTAACATTCACACACAATGACTAAGAGGCAGCAGCCTCAAAATACCGACCTGACTTCACAATCCTATTGCAATATAAGACAGAACTTCTCTCCTAAAGTTACCAAATACCGTTTAGCTGCAGTAGCTCTCCTGTTTGTATCCACTAGGCAAAATACCCTTTTCTTGATCCCAAATCATAAAAGCAAAGAAGGTTCCAATGATATGGCATGTTATTATGGAGAGGGAAAAAAAAGGGTATTTCACCTTTAGGAATCACCCAATCTTTGTAATTTTAATTGTCAGGGTGTTCACTGTGGATCCTTCAAAAATACTCCACAGCAGGTATGAATAACCTGGAGATATTAAATGCTCTTTTTAATATGTATCTCACATGCAAAAAAAAAGTGAAATGAGTAATACTCATATTGTTAACTTTCTCTGCAATCAATTGAAATATAACCCAGATGTCATCTTCCTCAAGTCAATGCCAACTGATTTGCAGTGCTAACATTTAACCTGATCACTCATTTTCAAATCACTTCTTAACGCAACAGCAGTACTTGCATGGTAGAATAAGCTACTAGGATGTGTCTAAAAGATCTGTTTTATTTTTATTTTAGAAACTGTATCTTCATAAGGCAAAAGAAAATTGCGCTCCAAAACTAAAACCTTACTGGTTACTGTCAGTTTATTGTATAAAGATGCTTTAAGATGATTTGAGATAAATGACAAGGATGTTATATGTTACCCAGCCCCTTAAATCCACTGTCTGAAAACGATTGTGTAGTATCACAGAACACAGACATACCTAATGCCACAGGCAATTTGATAAGGAGTAGTCTTCCAAGATTCAGCATCAACCTGCTTGCCATCAGGTAATGTCACTTTAATGGGTTTACTGTCATTTGCAGCTCTTTCTGCAAGGAGTGCATCATGCTCAGCCTTAAGTTTATTGTACATCTCTAAACGCTCATTGATAAATGCAGGCCAGGGACTCAACTATACATAGTAAAGACAAAGGAAAATTATTAAGAGATTATTAATCTGACAGCACATCATGTCAAGAATGCAAACACAACTGAGACACTTTTCATAAGCAGCTGACAATACATGTATGTCCAATATCTAACAAATAATCAAATTATTTTGGGTTATATAGTATTGATTATGTCACAACATTGTAATGCTTCAGCTAAATGAAATCTGTACCACTGTACACCTCTTCAATAACTCACATGTTACCAAACAACTATATAATCTATTAAACACCTGTTTAATAAGCTACACAAGGACAAAAATTAACTAGAAAAAAACTGTAAAAATTCAATGCAAAACCAGATTTTTCTTACTGAGTTGAAAAGCTGCGGGAACTCTCTAGTCTGAGCCACCCAGACAGGAACTAACTCCAGTTTAAACACGTGTAATGACGTCAGGACCATCCGGCTGGGCACAGCCAATTTGCACAGCCATGCACTTGGCTCAGGACTGCTAGTGACTAGCAGCTGGCCCTCCGTGGAGTCAGAGGGATCTGTGTTTACCCACCACGAAAACGAAAAAGACGAGAGCGCGTTATGCAGGCTTTCTTCACCTGGGAGATCCGCAGCCTGCCTCCCGCCGCAAAGGGGCACTGGGAAAAGCATCACCAAGCCCAGCGACGGGAATCTGAGCTGGTTTCCTACCCCATCAATGCAATTTAGTGTAAAAAATAATGGCACTCCACGCAAGCTGCCGGAGGTGTAACTATAGCGCCTGATAAAACACTCCAAAAGGATAAACTGTAGCAATGCCGGCGGAGCTCAGGGCAGCAATGAGCCCACCGCATCCTTCCACCCCCGCGGCCGAGGGGCTGCTCACCTCCGACCGACCGCCATCGCCAGCCCCTTCCTTCATCTTCTTCTTCCCGCATTCGGCTTTCTTCTCTTCCCTGGCGTCCACCTGCAGAATGCGATCACCATTCAGTCATATCCCAGCCCGCTTTAACTCCCCCCTGCCCCACACACCGCGGAAAAGACCCGAGCCCCTTGTCCCGCAAAGCCACAGCCCAACTCCCTGCTCCTTCACCCTGGGGCACATCCCACCGCCCCCCGAAGCGGCGGAAACCCTCGGGAAGAGGCCCAGCTGCCTTGGCCGCCGCCCCCGCCCTGCGGACAGGACTGCCCGCCCTGCCGAGCCCCGGCGCGGGGCGAAGGAGCCGCTCGGGCCGGGCCCACCTGGCTGTCAGCGCCCGCCATGGCTGCGCGGAGCCGCCCGGGAAGGGGCGGGCACGGCCCGGCGCAGGCGCTGCTCGGCCCGCGGCTGATGCAACCGGGGCGGTGTGTGGGCCCGCCCGGCCCCGGCGGGGACANCAGGGTGTTCACTGTGGATCCTTCAAAAATACTCCACAGCAGGTATGAATAACCTGGAGATATTAAATGCTCTTTTTAATATGTATCTCACATGCAAAAAAAAAGTGAAATGAGTAATACTCATATTGTTAACTTTCTCTGCAATCAATTGAAATATAACCCAGATGTCATCTTCCTCAAGTCAATGCCAACTGATTTGCAGTGCTAACATTTAACCTGATCACTCATTTTCAAATCACTTCTTAATGCAACAGCAGTACTTGCATAGAAGAATATGCTACTAGGATGTGTCTAAAAGATCTGTTTTATTTTTATTTTAGAAACTGTATCTTCATAAGGCAAAAGAAAATTGCGCTCCAAAACTAAAACCTTACTGGTTACTGTCAGTTTATTGTATAAAGATGCTTTAAGATGATTTGAGATAAATGACAAGGATGTTATATGTTACCCAGCCCCTTAAATCCACTGTCTGAAAACGATTTTGTAGTATCACAGAACAGAGACATACCTAATGCCACAGGCAATTTGATAAGGAGTAGTCTTCCAAGATTCAGCATCAACCTGCTTGCCATCAGGTAATGTCACTTTAATGGGTTTACTGTCATTTGCAGCTCTTTCTGCAAGGAGTGCATCATGCTCAGCCTTAAGTTTATTGTACATCTCTAAACGCTCATTGATAAATGCAGGCCAGGGACTCAACTATACATAGTAAAGACAAAGGAAAATTATTAAGAGATTATTAATCTGACAGCACATCATGTCAAGAATGCAAACACAACTGAGACACTTTTCATAAGCAGCTGACAATACATGTATGTCCAATATCTAACAAATAATCAAATTATTTTGGGTTATATAGTATTGATTATGTCACAACATTGTAATGCTTCAGCTAAATGAAATCTGTACCACTGTACACCTCTTCAATAACTCACATGTTACCAAACAACTATATAATCTATTAAACACCTGTTTAATAAGCTACACAAGGACAAAAATTAACTAGAAAAAAACTGTAAAAATTCAATGCAAAACCAGATTTTTCTTACTGAGTTGAAAAGCTGCGGGAACTCTCTAGTCTGAGCCACCCAGACAGGAACTAACTCCAGTTTAAACACGTGTAATGACGTCAGGACCATCCGGCTGGGCACAGCCAATTTGCACAGCCATGCACTTGGCTCAGGACTGCTAGTGACTAGCAGCTGGCCCTCCGTGGAGTCAGAGGGATCTGTGTTTACCCACCACGAAAACGAAAAAGACGAGAGCGCGTTATGCAGGCTTTCTTCACCTGGGAGATCCGCAGCCTGCCTCCCGCCGCAAAGGGGCACTGGGAAAAGCATCACCAAGCCCAGCGACGGGAATCTGAGCTGGTTTCCTACCCCATCAATGCAATTTAGTGTAAAAAATAATGGCACTCCACGCAAGCTGCCGGAGGTGTAACTATAGCGCCTGATAAAACACTCCAAAAGGATAAACTGTAGCAATGCCGGCGGAGCTCAGGGCAGCAATGAGCCCACCGCATCCTTCCACCCCCGCGGCCGAGGGGCTGCTCACCTCCGACCGACCGCCATCGCCAGCCCCTTCCTTCATCTTCTTCTTCCCGCATTCGGCTTTCTTCTCTTCCCTGGCGTCCACCTGCAGAATGCGATCACCATTCAGTCATATCCCAGCCCGCTTTAACTCCCCCCTGCCCCACACACCGCGGAAAAGACCCGAGCCCCTYGTCCCGCAAAGCCACAGCCCAACTCCCTGCTCCTTCACCCTGGGGCACATCCCACCGCCCCCCGAAGCGGCGGAAACCCTCGGGAAGAGGCCCAGCTGCCTTGGCCGCCGCCCCCGCCCTGCGGACAGGACTGCCCGCCCTGCCGAGCCCCGGCGCGGGGCGAAGGAGCCGCTCGGGCCGGGCCCACCTGGCTGTCAGCGCCCGCCATGGCTGCGCGGAGCCGCCCGGGAAGGGGCGGGCACGGCCCGGCGCAGGCGCTGCTCGGCCCGCGGCTGATGCAACCGGGGCGGTGTGTGGGCCCGCCCGGCCCCGGCGGGGACAGGGGGACGGGGAGGGCGCGGTGGGGCCGTACGGGGCTGTGCGGGTGAACACGGCCCGTGGCGGGCTGAGGTGGCTGAGGTAGCCCCGGCTCTGTCCGCGCCTCTGTCGGCGGGAGCGGGACCCGGCGCTCGCACAAGCGCGCTCCACTCCCTGTCGCGGGAAGAATCACAGAATCAATTAAGTTTAAGAGATCCCCGAGATCTGCGAGTCCGACTTGTGACCGAACGCCACCTTGTCAAGTGTCAAGTAGACCACGGCCCAGAGTACTATGGCCAGTTTTTCCTTGAACACCTCCAGGGACGGTGACTCCACCACCTCCTTGGGCAGCCTGTTCAGTGTATAATCATCCTTTCTGTGAGGAGATTTCTCCTAATATGCAGCTTTAACCTCCAATGATGCAGCTTAAGACTGTGTCCCCTTGTGCTGTYACTTGTTCCCTGGGAGAAGAGGCCGATCCCCACCTGCCTACACCGTCCTGTCTGGCAGTTGTAGAGGGTGACAGTCCCCCCTGAGCTTCCTTTTCTCCAGGATAAACACCCTGAATAGCAGCTCCCTCACCTGCTCCTCATCAGAGCTGTGCTCCACACCCTTCACCAGATCCACTGCCCTTGTCTGGACACACTCTGGCACTCAGAGGTACCTGGCTACTGTTCCCCCTGACACAGACATTCAGCCAAGGATGGATCAATGAATGGCAGTATACTTCACAAAAGAGACTAAAAATGAAATAAAAATTGTATTTACTGCTGACTTCCCAGCAGAAGAAAAAAAAAATAAGAAGAAGAGATTCTGAGGTGATTGTGTCAGATCTGAACTGCAGGAGCACCCCTGGGTGTCCCAAAGGAAGCCTCAGCTCAGTGGCTCAGAAGCTGCAGGTACCTCCAAGGAAGCGATATAATATTCAGGCTCTGTAATCTCCTTCCCCTCCTCTCCCTGGTGTTGTTTTTCATTAATAATAATAATATTTTYATTTAGGAAGGTTACTGTGTTGTAGCACATTCTCATGGTGGCTATGGACTCCCAGAGTGGCCAGTCCCAAGGCCCAAGGTGTGTTTGGTAAAGGTTAGGTGTTCTAGCATATCAGTGAACTTACCCAGTTGCCTAGTTTAAGCAAGATGTTCATTACAAGATTTCATGTTTTCATTAAATCCTGGMATACTTTGAAGAGGGTAAATCCAGGTCAGGGCTTGCTTTTGACCTCTGCTTCTTGCWCTAATAGCACCCAACACCAAATCTGTCTCATGGAATAGCTGCYTTCTTTTCACCTGCAACAATGAACAGGGAGTTTAGAGTGTCTAAAATGTGCTTAAATTGATATCAGAGTTCCTCAGGCTCCATGGACTTAAGTGCTGTGAGCCAYACATTCAGGGAAACAAGKTTTWTATAGCTTTCAAAATTTATTGTGGRTYAGTGARGGATGYTGAGAGAATATCACTGGGCTATTTGACCACAAAGGTAGGACTTCAAAAATAATGCAAACATTTTAATCTATTTGTTAAAATATGAAAATGGAAAGGTGTAGTAATAGGAACATAAAGACAGAATCAGGCCTAGATCTGCATAGTTCATTTGTTGTCTGAAAATAAAGTATGAGCAGCATAAATATTCGCAAAGCCGTTTATTAGACAGCTACATTGAATAATATATGTATGATCTTTTGTAGAATATAGACAATGTTTAGTAATACAAAAGGCATTTGTTTTATAATACCAAATTTTTATATTTGCAGTATCTCCTAAAATCTTTTTCAGATGGACAAATTACAAGTGGCTAAGAGACAGAACATTGCAACATTTRTAGATAAACTAGATAAGGCCAAAATGAACAAAACCATATATTGATGCTGTTCAAGAGAAAAAACTTTTAAGTTACTTTAAAAGCAATTGGRAAACTGTAGAACTGTCCCTTGTGCCAGAAGATGGCAGCAGCGAAACGCACTGTTCGACCCAAATTCGGCTCATAGCTCCTTCGGGAAATAGGATTTATGGCAAAAAGCACAAAACTAAATAATTGTTTTACTGACTTTGTTCTTAAGCAATGTAATTAATGATGTGCTACTGAATTCAACCATGCTCTAATAATGTAAGTTGGTATCAGTGTGCTTTAATGATTATCAGCAATGAATAGATGTGTGTGGTTCAAGTGAAGTTTGTTGGGAAAAATGTGGTCAGAAATGTCTACAGGAATTGCAGTGTTACTTGGCTTATATTTAATTTAGGAAAATTAAAAATCAAAATGAAATCAAAATGCAAATAAAGATTTAGAGCAATGAATGTAACACATTTACGCCATTTRTTTGCACCAGCTGCTCTAGGGAAACCATCTGACTTGTAATATAGCACTAGGCTTTCYGTAAAATGTCTGGGTTTGTTTATATTTGTGTACATTAAATCARTTCTATTCATTGTATTTACTAATTTCACAAACTCTGCATCAATTGGAAAATCAAATYGTATGAATGCCATTCATTTACACTGAGGGTTCAAATTATATTATTTGAATTCCAGGTCTAGTGGATTTCCATAAACCCAGTTCAAGCAAAGAGATATTGTCTCAAAATTACAAAATCATACAAATATGAGGATCTCAGATTTGAGAATTGAAATATTTTAATGTAGTTTTCTATTGTATTAATTCCACCTGGGATAATATAAAAAAGCAGTAGACTTCTTAGAAATCTTATGTAGCAACTGTAGAAATRTATGTTCAGAAATTGAAAAAYGTKTGAAAGTAAATAAAATTAATTTGAYATTAAATTTAARTATTGTGAAAATAACTGAAGTCCTGATTCGAACTGGAACATGCTAGAAAAACTGAATCTAAGACTTGACTTTTGACTTTATTTCAGTTTCTGGTGCCTCATTGTTAAAATACTTAYCATTTTAGGAGGACAAGAAAAATAAGTGATATTTCACACCARAGAAAGGAGACAATTTTGGTTTGTTTCTGTATCCATGATGGCTTTATGTTACAGCCACTGTTGTATGTAGTCGGGTAATCTTCATGCACCAAGAGGTTTGTCCAAATACCAAGCTTGTTTCTGCTTTTTTCAGGAGAGATACATGCTTGTGCATGCTAGGGAGAAAATCCTCACTAACAGCAGAAATTCCAGACCTTTTGTGGCCTGGAAGCACTCTTCATGGAGACAGTCTTGTCCCACCTGTGTCCCCCAGGATGCAGGTCCTCTCCACTTTCCCCTCTTATCCCCTTCCTACCTGCAGCTGTGCAGAAAATASATTCAAATTACACAGGGTCAGTTTGTTCTCTACTGCCAGGCAGGTTTTTTGAGTAAAGCAATAAGACTGTATTTGGTCAAATGTAGGAGACAACCAGTTTCATTGCTCATAGTTACAGGGGCTGAGATAAGAGGTTATAAATTCCAGGTGAAACTTTAAACTAGGGTTCACTCCTTGACATCAGGTGAGCATCAGACTTTTACTAGGAATCCTAGGGCCTTTTAAAGAAGGGAGATGCTGGGTGATTTACCCTTTCCTCCCTCCCCTGCTTTTTGTCTGTTCAATAAAACAAGATTTGGCTTTCTGCTTCTTCATAACAAATATACCAATCATAAATCATGCCTATTTTCCCCTACATCTCAATTTTATCCCTAGTTCACTTTGTTAAAATGTTTAGCATACCTATAGCTGAGTCAGCAATATTTTGTCTCACATCATAAAAAGTAGTCGGTGTGCATGCATTCAAATAAACTCAGCTCTTTCCTGTGTTCTTCTTGTACAGCTCATAAATGTCATTTTGAGGGGCACATTATTAATTCATTATTGATATGTATCAACAGTTAAGATGCTTTCCAAACTCCTATCTTTAGGATTAACTGCCCCTGCTTCATAGTCCAAAAGCAGATTCCTCCTATTCRATGGTTCTATGTTATGATTTGCCCTTAAAACTACTGTTGTTTTCATTTAAAGGATCTGGTCTCAGAAAAAGATGTGCTGTCTCCAGTTGTGACTCCCATTGTGGTCTGCACTCTGTCTTGTGACTGGGCTGTGAGATGTGAATCCAGAACTCCTGCCTTCCATTTCCTGTTCATAGGTTAATATCAAACAGTGAAGCACTGGTCATTTTATGAGGAAAATAAAATGTTAGCTATTCTGTATTCTGAGGAGGAGGGATAATAAACTAAGAAAAATCACATGTCCTTGAATGTCCTTAATCACTATTAAAWATCACATTGATACATTTTTGCCAAACTTCTGGATCTTGGACACATCCTTAGTTTTTGTAACTAAATTAAAACTACCGCTATCAGCATCAACAAGTTGTTGTACTGCATAAAACTTTTTTGCTCGTCTGTGGAATTTTCAAGAATACAAACTACTTTTTTGTTAACCTTTTTTTCCTAATGAAAAACTAAAATGCCTCATTTTCATGTGTATTTCAGAATTCAAAGTCTGAGAATGTGGGTTTTGTCAGATATGCTTGTAATAATGGAATTCCTTTTTTTCATTATAGATGCCACTGATACTTTTTCCTTCAGAATAGCATTTCCTGTTTCCATAATGGCAGATCATGGATATACTTACATAATAGCATTAAGGAGATAAATTTTATAAATTTTCTAACATTTAAAAACTAATTACAAAAAAAAACCACCCACAAAAAAACAAACAAGCAAAACCAAAAAATAACCCCACCGAACACCCCTCCCCCTGTCCAAAAAAATGCACTGATTTTCACATTATTAAGACAGAACTATCCCTATATCTTCTCTGTGGGCCAAGTCCTCCATGGCACACCATGCCATGCCATGGCACATGGAGGAATTTTCTRCATAATGCAGTTAGAGGCAAGAAATGCATTTTCCAGTAATTTTCTTGGTACAGTCCATAACTTGATTTTCCAGACTCAGTTTCTTATTCCAAACAATCTCCATGATACTCCATTGCACTGGATATTATCTCCAGATACCAAGAGATGGAAAA